ACCACTTGAGCTACAGCACCACTTCCGGTTTTCTGGTGGTTTATTGGAGATAGGAGTCTCACGGTCTCTCCTGCCCGGGCTGGCTTTGAACTGCGATCCTCAGATCTCAGCCTCCTGAGTAGCTAGGATTACAGGCGTGACTTTTCTGGCTTTTTTTTTGTGGAAGTAAAGAGTATCAGGACTTTGCTGCCTGGGCTGGCTTTGAACTGAGATCCTTAGATTTCAGCCTCCTGAGTAGTTAGGATTATAGGTGTGAACCTCTGGTGTCTGCCTCAGCAGAGGCTTTCTGAGTAATACTTCTTCCCTGTCTCTGGAGTACAGGTACAGGTGTGTTCACCCTCTGGATATTCATGAGTGTTGCACAATTAAGATAGTCACCATATTCATTTAGCCAAGCACTATATATATATGGCAAACACTTGTAAATGTTCCTTTGTCCCTGAGGAAAAAACAGAATGTAAGTGTTCATTTGTCCCTGAGGAAAAAACAGAATATGACTCAGGTATGTCTGCCAGCTGGACTAACACCTGAGATCTAAAGTCCCATAGCAGGTTTTAGCCAGGGTACTATATTAGAATTATTGAAAGAAATACTGGAAGGCCCAACTTGTCTTACTCAGCCCTACCTAGCACAGGAGAGTAAGCTTACTGAATGAGAGTGAATTTACTGCAGTAACAGGACCTCAGATCTCAACCTCCTGAGTAGCTAAGATTACAGGCATAAGCCACCAGAACCAAGCCCTGATATCATATTATCTATTTAGTTTATTTACTTATCTGTTTTCCCCAGTGGATTGTAAATGTCTTGAAAAGAAAGACTTTGTTTGGCTCACTCTTTTATTCTTAATATTTAATAAAATGTCTGGAGTGAAATAGGCATTCACTAATAAGCATATACATTGTTGAATGAATATATTCCATTTGCTGATGTCTATTACTTAACAGGAAATGTCTGTTAGCTTTAAATGAAATGATTCTCTTCTGACTTTTCATATGTAAAGACAAATCAATCTTCAAATAGAAATGTGTAAAACTGTATAGTTTACATAAAATCTACTTACCTTAGCATAGTTTAATCTTCCTTTTTCGTGAGCCTAAAATTTGACAGATAAAATGAATGTTAGTTCTTGAACAATTATTTAGTATTTAAATAACTTTTGTTTCTTGAAGAATAAAACTCAATTGTCATTCCTTTTCTTTCCCCTCCACTAGGTGTGTGTGTGTGTGTGTGTGTGTGTGTATTTTTGGTGGGGGGGTGGGGTTGATCGTGGGGCCTGAACTCTGGGTCTGGGCGTTGTCCCTCAGCTCTTCAGTTCAAGACAAGCACTCTACCTCTTGAGCCACAGTGCTACTTCCAGTTTTCTGGTGTTTATTGGAGATAAGAGTCTCATGAATTTTCCTGCCCAGCCTGCCTTTGAACAGGGCTGGCTTTGAACTGCGATCCTTAGCTCTCAGCCTCCTGAGTTGCTAGAATTACAGGCGCAAACCACTGGTGCCGGTTTGTTATACACACATACACATCCATATACCCAACGGTCCCTCTCAAATACATGTATGTGCATGTGACTGCAAATACACACAAACACTCAGACACATACAACTCTTCCAACTATTCTTTTTGAATTCGGGGCCTTGCTTGAGTCAAGTCCACAGCTATCAACTTTTTTTTATGTTGGAGATTTATCCACACAGAGAGACATACACACTATACAGACACACACACATACACACATTTTGAAAGTAAAGAAAAGTTAAAAGAACAGTACATCCAGGCATAAGTGGCTCATGTCTATAATCCTAGCTACTCAGGGCACTGAGCTCGAAGGATTGTAGTTTGAAGTCAGCCTGGGCAGAAATGTGCGTAATTGGGGCTGGGAAGTTGGCTCAGTGGTAGAGCGCTTGCCTTGCATGCCTGAGGCCGGGGTTCGATTCCTCAGCACCACGTAAGCAAAAAAAGCCGGAAGTGGCGCTGTGGCTCAAGTGGTAGAGCGCAAGCCTTGAGCTGAAGAGCTGAGGGACAGCACTCAGGCCCAGAGTTCAGGCCCCACGACCGGACACAAAAACAACAAAAACAACAACAACAACAACAACAACAAAAGAAATATGCGTAATTGGAGACAATTAGGGGCTGGGAAGGTGGTTCAGTGGTAGAGCGCTTGCCTTGCATGCATGAGGCCTCAGCACTACATAAGCACTACATAAGCACTACATAAGCAAAAAGAAAAAAAAGCCGGAAGTGGCTCTGTGGCTCAAGTGGTAGAGCCTTGAGCTGAAGAGCTGAGGGACAGCGCCCAGGCCCAGAGTTCAAGCTGCACAACCGGACCCCCACCCCAAAAAATTCTCCAATTAGCCACCACAAAGCTAAAAGTAGAATTGTGGGTCAAGTGGTAGAGCTATCCTTGAGCAAATAAGCTAAATGATACTTTCTAGGCCCTGAGTTCAAGCCTCAGAATCAGCATACAAACAAAACAAAACAGTTTAATGAGCAGATATGTATACCCTCACAGGATTTGAAGGTATAGACATCATGATGTTTCATCCTTACATGCTTTAGCATGTCTACAACACATAGGGTATATCTCATATACAATCATATGATGACTATTGTCCAACTAAAAAACTAATAATAATCCCATAACACCTAAAATATAACCTGTATACATATTCCCCTAACTATCCCAAGAATATCTTTTATGTCTTTTCTTCCCAAACAAGAATTAAGCAAATTAATCAAGATTTGTACATTGGATTTTGTTTTGTGATAGTATTGAGATCAAGACCTCACAATTGCTAAGCAGGCACTATACCACTTGAGCCACAATTGCAGCCCCCTAAAATCTTAATTGTGACCATTCCAAGACTTCCTGGGGAGATGAACATGTTGGGAGCCAGAAAATTGCTTCTAGGCAATTTGTGTATGTGTGTGTATGCCAGTACTGGGGCTTGAACTCAGGGCCTGAATGCTGTCCCTTAGCTTTTTCGCTCAAGGTTGGCACTTTACCACTTGAACCACAGCTTCACTTCTAACTTTCTGATAGTTAATTGGAGATAAACACCTCAAGACTTTTCTTGCCTGGACTGTCTCTGAACAGATCTCAGCTTCCTGAGTAGCTAGGATTACCGGTATGAGTCACAAGCACCAGCTCTTAAATGGAATCTGAAGGCTTTTATATGGGCCCTTATTTCCTTGCTTATAAAGTAAGAGTATTGGACCATCCTGTTGGATGCTGGCCAGTCTGCCTTGGAATCACTGGAATAGCCTGTGAAGAATCAAGATTCTCAACCCCCTACCCATGAGATTATCATTTAAGGATAACTGGTCTGGTCTATATCTTATGTCCTTTCCAATTTATGTTTCAGTGTGCATCAGTGGTGACTTTAAAGACGGGAAAGAAACAGCTGTATGAGCTCTTCATGTCTCATGGAGAATGTATAGTACTGTCACTTTCCCCTTTTTCTGACATCTGTCACTAAAGTATTTCTAGTGGAGCAAGATATTATTAAAATAACTTTCTCACTAGGGCCCAAAATAGGCTGATAGAAAATAAATGCAGACTATATTTCAACAGCCACAGCCCTGAACTACTTCCTGCCACACAGTTCATCTCCAGAAGCTACTGTAAATTCTGCCATACACTGCGAATCCCCAGAGGCTTCATTACAAGGGTCTTTAAAAGAGATTCACTCATCTCTTTGCCTCCTGTAGGTGTGCTTCTTGTCAATCCAGGTCATGAGAAGAGAAAGCAATTTTTCCCAGTCGTTAGCAGTTCATAGAAAAATGTATGGTTTGATCCTTGTTTTATCTTTAAAAATGTGAAAATAGACAAGAGTGTGTGCCAGTGCTTATGACACTGGAGGTGTCCTTAGACGGCTATGGTGTTCCTGTAAAACAATATCTTGTACAAAAGCAAAGAAAGGCCAGCACTGTGATTGAGATGATGCACACAGGGATTAATTCCAAAGGTTTATATACTGGTGTCTGCAGTCCACAGGCAGACAGGTTCCCTGTTGGTAAGTAATAGATGTGCAATATGGTCTTTTACTTTAAGAAACAAATGCTTTTTTTGTTAGGTAACAAAGAGGGACTGGATGACATAAATGAGCTGTTTCCAATTTCCAAATAGTGTTGGAGATGCAGGCACCATTCCTATATGTAGAAAGCTAATATTTCACAGCAGGAATCTAGAAATTGCTAGAAACTGGCCATCTCTATTTAACAGGTTAAAAGAATAATTTGAGTCATCTTCCTCCTCGATGTTTTCTTGTGTTGGTATTGGAACTTGAACACAGGGCCTTAGCTCTTATGCTTAAGACTAGCACTCTAAATTGGATATATGAGACTTTACAGACTTTCCTGCCCAGGCTGGCTGATCCTAATATTTTAGCCTCCTGAGTAGCTAGGATTATAGGTGTGAGCCACCAGTGTGCCTGGATAAATTTTTTTTTGTCAGTCACTATTTTTTCACTTTTTCTGAATCACATTCATTTTTCTTAGGTAAATATCTAGTCTTTTTTTTGGAAAACTTTAGGTAAAATTCATGTAAAATAAAATTAATCATTTTAATCACCTTAAAGAGCATACATCAGTAGCAGTTAGTACATTCACAGTGCTGTGCAATCATTAGCACTATCAATTCCAAGTATTTATCATCCCAATAGGAAACTTGGGTAGGAGGCATTGGTGGCTCAGTGGTAGATCTAATTTTCATATTCCTAAAGGAAAAACCATACTTATATGCAATCACTCTCCATTTCCTTACAGCTTACCTGGTAAGCCCCAATAGCTACATATTTGATTCATCTCTCTTTGGAACTGCCTATTGTGGATACCTAATAAAAATATAGCCACATAATATGTGGCCTTTTTCTTTTGGGTCCTGTCGTGGGGCCTGAACTCTGGGCCTGGCCAATGTCTCTCAGCTCTTCAGCTCAAGGCTAGCACTCTACCACTTAAGCCACAGCACCACTTCCGGCTTTTTTCTTTTTGCTGATGTGGTGTTGAGGAATCGAACCCAGGGCCTCAGGCATGCAAGGCAAGCGCTCTACCACTGAGCCACCTTCCCAGCCCAATATGTGGCCTTTTGTATGTTTTTTTTTTTTTTAATTTGGCATCATCTTTTCAAGAGTATAGCATATATCAATGCCTCACTTCCTTTTATAACATCCCATTGTGTGGACACACTGCATTTTGTTTATTCACTCATCAGCTGATGGACACTGGACTATTTAACTTTTGTATATTGTGAATACTGCCGTACTTAATTTTGTTTGAATGAAAGTCTTTTAAATACATTATTATTTCTGCATCTGTTCCTTACAGTGCCCATGTTTATCACGTTTCAGCCAAATGATAATCCTGGTTTCTGAATATACTCTATATCCAAATGTATCCCCTTTTTGTGGCTTCCTTTGTCTAAGAAGGTCTCTTCCCATCCCCAATTCTTATCTTTACTATTAAGACCTTTTCATTCTAGGACTATGTTACATGTCATGTACTTCATAAATTCTCTCTGTTTCTCTCACCGGACTCAAATCCTCTTCCTTCTGAGTTCTCTACTGAATTAATTACAGTACTTTCATATTTATTCCTTTCTCTTATTACCTCAGTAAATTACAAGCAGGTTTTGGGCAATTTATTGTTATGTAAATAGCAGCTAAACACTCTGTCCCTTTAAGTGCAAGAGAAAAATCTTAAGAAAAATTCAAGCTGGGCACCATTGATTTATGCCTGTAATCCTAGCTACTCAGAAGGCTGAGATCTGAGAATTGGGATTCAACTAATCTGGAAGGAAAGTTTATGAGACACATTTTCAATTAACCACCAAGAAGCTGAAAGTAGAGCTGTGGCTCAAGTGGTGGTGTGCTAGCCTTGAGATAAAATCCCTAGGAAAGCACCCAGGCCCTGAGTTCAAACCCCACAACCAGTATGCACGCATGCGTGCGCACGCACACACACATGCACACACACACAGAGATATATTTGGGTTATGTCATAGATTTAATAGTCTGGGGCTATACATATGGTTCTTTCAAATGTCCACAATGTATATCTTCAATGTTGAGGATGATGCTAATATTATTCTTTTAGTAATAA